GCTCTCCTCCTCCTCTTCTTCCTCCTCGCCATCGTCCTCGCAGCCCTCGTCGCTCTCGCCCTAGTCGCTCTCGCTCTCGCGCCCGCCGCCTCGCCGCCGCCCGGCACTCCCTGCCTCCTGCGCCTCGTAGACATCCGTGTGCACGCCGTACTCCAACGAGGTGGTGCCGGCCGGCGGCGGCGCCGTCAGGTTGGCGTCGTCGGGGACGTGCAACGTGAGGTTGCGGATGGTGTTGCCGATGTAGAGGTTGCGCAGGCCCGCGCCGGCGTAGAAGCGGAGGTCGTTGACGCACATGGAGGTCTTGCGCGACGGATGGACAAAGACGAGGATGTGGAAGACGCCCACCTCCTCGCCGCGCTGCATGACCGAGACCCGCAGGACGCACTTGCCAGCCGGTACGACCCAGTAGGCGCTCGCCCAGGCCGCTCCCCCGCCGCCTCCGCCCAGCCGCATCTGCAGGTCCGACACGTCGATGACGCCGTCCTCCCTCTCCATGGCGGTCACGAACAGGTTGATTGGCCAGCTTCCGACGCCGATGAGCTTGAGCACGGACCGGCCGTCCTGCTTGGCACGGTAGGCCGCGCGCGAGACGTCCTGCAAGAAGAGGGCGGCGTCGTAGCGGTACGCCGCGATGCGGTTGTCATCGGCGAGCTTCCGGCGCGCGACGTCGAAAACCTGCGCGACGGAGAGCAGCTGGTCGATCCGCACGTCGCCCGCCCCCCAGCCGAACCCGTACTTGAACATCACGCCGCGCATCCGCTCGCCCATTACCGTGCCGAGCGCGCCGTACTTCTTGGTGGGGTCGAGGACGCACGCGTCGTTACCGACGACGCCCCAGTGGGAACGGCGCAGCATGTGGGCGATCGTATATAAGTCGCCCCGCTCGCTCGCCTCGTCCAGGAGGGCGTCGAGCAGCGCCTCGAGCCGGCCGAAGGTCGCCTCGGGCCACTCGTCCGCGAGCTGCTTTACGTGAGCGAGCCGCTGCGCAGGGGTACGCATATCTTGAAGCCCGGTGGCGGGCGTGCCCACGGAGCAAAGCCAGGGCAAGGCGGCTGGTCAGAGGAGGGCGCCTGGGTCTAAATTTAGTGTGTGTGAATGAACTTTAGTGATAGTTTAGTGCGCTATTTAGTGTGTGTTCGGGTGCGTGTGTAGTGCGTCTTTAGCGCGAATTTAGCACATATTTAGCACATATTTAGTGTGATTTATCTCCAATTTAGCGCCACATTTAGTTCACTTTAGGTGCGGGCAGCTGCAGTACGTCGGGCCGAAGCCCGTCAGGCACTCTCTCCTAACCCTAGCCTTCTCCCGAACCCTAGTGTGTGTTGGTTGTCTCTGTGCTTTCACACCTCGCCCCGTCGTGTCCGTCCACATTGTGATTGCGGCCGTCCACGACTACGTCGTCTCTAGAGAACGTATACAACCCCCTTCTGGTGTCGACCGCGCCCCTCGCGGGGGCACGGCCGAACGTGGCAGCGTCAACTGGTCACGACCAGCACTTTGGTGCGCGAGCAGCATCGCTGCAGCCTTGTTGTTTTCAGTCGCCATAGGATTGAAGTGGACGGGCGCGTAGGAGCCGTTGAGCTCAACGGCTCCTTGGAGCACTTGGAGTGCAGTCAGTAACCTCACATCCAGGGCCGGGGAGCTCAGAAGCGCACCCAGCGGGCCGGCTCCCAGGACCTCGTCGATCAATTTCCTGATCGCGTGAGCCCGGCCTTGGCGGTCGTGTACGGCCCAAGCGGTCTCTGTTTCTGACTCCAAC